ACAGCAGACAAATGGAGAGCCCTGCAGGCCAGGTCTCAGGTGGCCCCCGGAACCGGGTGTCTCATCGCTGAAGCCTTCCACCAAGAAGGGCACACATCCTCCCTCTTCCCCTCCGGCTTCATCACAGATCTGAGTCCGGGAGAGACAGGTGCGGTTGGCACAGGCTGTCCTCCAGCACAGGACACTCTGTGCTCACCGCCCGCCAACTGCGCAGCCTGAGTGCACCGGCCTCAGAAGTTCTGTCAGCAGCAAGAGCTACCAGGAGGGTGGGGAGGGTCATGAAGCTGTGTGTGTGTGTGGCCACCCAGGGAGGTCAGGCATGGCTGAGGGGAGAGCGCAGGCCAAGGTAGGAGGGGGCAGATGACAAAGACAGCTTCATTCAACCCTGGCATCAACAGGGAAGCTGGAGATGGCCACTGCCACTGCTCCTGGGCCAAACCTGGAGGGCCTGGTCCAGCATCCCCAGCCCAGCAGGTGCCCGAGGCCAGCGCGGCCGGTGAGCCTCGGTCTGAGTGAGCCGCTGAGGCACAGGAACTGCAACTCCCATGTTGCCCTCCCCGCAGAGGGAGGTCTCCAGGCCCTTCCCAGGCAAGCCTGGCCCCAGCGTGCCTCTACCCCAGACCCACAAGCCCTGTTCTCCCAGCCTCCCCATCTGCTCTTCCTTTACCTGAAAATAGTCCCTCTGTCTAAACTGGGTCTCCAGTGACAAGCAAGCCTGCTTCCTGATCGGGGGCACGCCCAGGTGACAGGACCAAGGCAGCACGAGGATGTGGGGAGACCCTGTGGGCGTGGCTCCTGGCTCGGCCACATAACTCTCTAGGCCTCAGCTTCTTCAGTTCAGGCCTTCCTACGTCACAGCATCGTCACCAGGATCCCTTGAGGCACTAATTCATCCTGAAAGCACTTTGTAAAACGAGGCCTGCATGTCATCCGTTATTACACGCTAGGTTATCACACATCAGGTGATTGTCACCACGCTCGTAGCAAATGGGTGCTCATCCTAAATGGACGCTGAATGAAGCCTCATCCTGAGCTGATGATGCCTCGAGGGTCCCTGAGAGGGTGGCAGGGCCCCGGCGTTCCTCCCGTGGGCCTGGGCACTGAAAGTGAGAGATGACAGCAGGAAGGGGAAAGTCCACCCTTCTAAAGGGATAAGGGACTTCCCTGGCAGTCCACTGGTTAAGACTCCACGCTTCCACTACAGGTGACAGGGGTTCGATCCCTGGTAGGGGAAGTTCCGCATGCCACGTGGTGCGGCCACAAAGAAAACCAAAAAAACCCCAAAACCCATAAAGGGATCAGGAGGTCTGGAGACAAAGTGGGCTGGCATGGACAGAACCTGAGGACCAAGGGGTGCCCAGGCCCTCTCTTCCCACTGGGCAGCTCCATGGGAGGCGGGGCTCCGGGTCCCAGCGCTGTTCACAGGTCGCCCGTGCAGGGGAGCAGGGCTGACTCAGAAATGCTTAGCGCTACCCTAGCCCCGGGCAGGGCCTGCTCCCAGATCCTTAGGTGGCCCTGCTCTGCTGGCAGAAGAAGGGAGCTGGAGACCTAGGAGGGCTAGAGCAGGGGGAAACGAACGGGTGTGTTTTCTAGGGAGGGGTGGGGCACAGGAAGCTCCACGTGCCAGGAACAGGCTGAGCTCACTCACCCCTGGCCTTGCATCAGCTGCAGAGCTGGCAGCCAGGCCCTGGGAATTAGGCAGGAGGCTCCCAGGAGCCTCCTGGCCTTGCCTTTTGCTCTCAGGGAGAGGGTGACAAGGAGGAACAGGCAGCCTGGGTCTCCTCAGGCCCTCCGCTTCCAGGTCACCCAGCTGCCCCAGCTCCCAGCTTCCCGGGCCAAGAACGGCCCATGTGATCAAGGGCGGGCACAGTTCAGGGCCCTAGGGGTTCTCCCTGCCTGCCCAAGGTCTCCTTGCTGGAAGGCTTCCTAGAGTTGGTGGCATCTCCCAAGTAGATCTGGGGACTTTGGGGCTGGTTCCTCTCTGGCCTCTGACATCACCACGTTAAAAATGACCCTCTACCAACAGCAGCAGGTGCTACAGACAAGGTCAGGATATGTGTATTTCAGTGTGGCCTTCCACCTCGCGCTTGATCTGTTAATGATTCATCTCAGGTTGAATGAGACAGGAATTTCACAGAGGGACTCCTGGTTCTGTTGTTCTCCCCAGGCCCAGCCACAGTGTTTGGGATTTAAAGCATCCCTGACAGCTGCTGACACCTCTTCTGTCCCTGGATTCTCTTGGGGTGCAAAAGTGTACTGGGGGATGGGGGGGCGGAGTCTGGTTTTTTTTTAATTTTTTTGGCCACACCACCTGGCTTGTGGGATCTTAGTTCCCCCGACCAGGGATTGAACCTGTACTCCCTGCAGTGAAAGCACAGAGTCCTACCCACTGGACCGCCAGGGAAGTCCCAGGAGTCTGTTCTAAATGTAAGTGCAATGACAGCTCCACTTCACCTCCCCGATTCCCAGAGCTTCTCAATAAGGGCCTGTGGAGTTTAGGGGTCCTCCTGAGGGTCCTCATCAGCTCTCCAGCTCTCCTACTAGCCTCCTGCTCCTAGCCCATCTGGGGCTGATGTCTGGGGTGTCCAGAGAGCTGAGCTGAGGGCTGTGGACAAAGGAAAGGTGACTTGTGAAGGGGGCCAGAGCAGAGTGACAGACCAGAGCAGGAACATAAGGGCTTGTGGGGGACCTGGATCAGCCCTAACTTAGCGCTTCTGGCCTCCTGTGGACTTGGTTTCTAAGTCTCTCTCCCTCAGTGCCTTTCCATCTCCAGGCCTTATCCCCAGCTGAGGTGGTGCTAGAGAAAAAAATGTACATGCCTGCCCCTGCCACCCCCCGTCCCCCCAATCACAGACCCCTCTCCCCTCCCTGGGCCTTAATCTCATCTACAGCATGAGGACACAGGACAAGATGGCTCCCCAGCTCAGGGGTCCTAGGAGTCTATGACATCAGCCTTCAGCCAGAACTTGGTCTGCTTTCGTGTTTTCCCCCTGCTCAGCCCCTGCATCGGTGCTTGTTCTTGAGTTTTTGCTCCTCAGCAATGACCTTCTGTCCTTCTAGCTTCCAGGTCTGCTTGGAGGCTGGGCTTGATCCCCTCATTATCTCGGGACAAACGTTTGGCTCTTCGAGACCCACGTTTGCCTTTTATAAATTGTATCTCCTGGGTTATCATTTAGTCGAGTGCACTGCAGCCTGGGCACTTCTCCCCAAGGGGCACAAGGAGAGCTCAGCGGGACGGCGAACCTTGTGGGGCTGAGCAGGGAGGGGCTGGCGGGGAGCTGCGCGGGGGGAGATAGAGAGGAGTGGGGAGGCAGCCCAGGTGGTGACAGAGACACGATCCCAGGCAGTGTGTACGTGGCCCTGGGCCCTGGAGAGCTCGGGTGACTGGACAAGCCCTGGGAGGTTACCTAGGCCAACCACCCTGTTTCTCCCACCCCATTTTATTTATTTTATTTATTTTTGCAGTACGCGAGCCTCTCACTGTTGCGGCCTCCCCCGTTGCGGAGCACAGGCTCTGGACGCGCAGGCTCAGCGGCCATGGCTCACGGGCCTAGCCGCTCCGCGGCATGCGGGATCCTCCCAGACCGGGGCACGAACCCGCATACCTTGCATCGGCAGGCGGACTCTCAACCACTGCATCACCAGGGAAGCCCTCCCACCCCATTTTAAAGATGAGGCCCAGCAAAATCTAGTGAACTGAAAGAAAATATAATTTAATCCCCCAAAGAAGGAGGAACTTGGTTTCTCTTTAAAGGATGGCCCAATAAATGGAATCATTTTGCTTCAGGAAGAGCTCACTTCTCAGGTGGTGTTTTTCTCCTTTTGTGTCACCGACGGGTGACATCCGCATTGTGGTCCATGGCTGTCTGAAGACCAGACTCTACGTCCCTGAAATCCTTCTGCTCCCAACGCCCTTCTCTCCCCTTAACTAGATTTGCACAGTAAGGAAACATCTGGGACAACTGAGATTAAAAGCACTTCAAGGGCCTCCCTGGTGGCTCACCCTCATAACGGAGGCCTCCTGGTGTCATCCGGACCCAGCGCCCCTCTACCAACTTCTCCAGCCTTCTCTCTTACCGCTGTCCCTCACACTCAGGAAGGCAAGAGACAACAACAGTACAGCCGTGCCTGTATGTGGCTATTTGAATTTAAATTAATTGAAAATTGATGACATTATTGTTAAAAATTCAGTTCCTTGGTCACACTAGTCACATTTCAAGTGCCCTTGGGGCTAATGGCTACTGTACTGAACGATGCAGATACAGAACGTTCCTATCATCACAGAACGTTCTATTGGGAAGCACTGGGTTTGATTTTTCTCTTACAAAGGAAGCCCTGATCAAGGAACGCTATGAGTTTTAGAGGGATCCAGGGTAGACTTGACCTATTCAGTGACTCTTCCAAGAAATATTGGCACCTACTCTATTCCAGGCCCTGGATACACAATAGTGGGCAGTTGTAGCAGTTGGTCCTTTGGAGTGAAAAAGCAACTGCTCTCAGATGTGTTAAGTGCCTGAGCCCAGGCTGGGGCAGTCGGGAAGGTTTCCTGGAGAAGGGGACATGTAAGCACAGACCTGCAGTCTGAGGAGGCACTAGTGAGGCTGAGTTGCTCTCCAGACCATGTTCTTTTTGGCCCTCTGGGTCCCTTATCACAGACTGTCCCCACTGCCTGGACTACTCCTCTCTTTTTTCGCCAGGGAGGGAAGGCATGAGACTAGTCCCCTTAAAGTCAGTCCCCCAGCTGGGACTAAGCAGAGTCCCTGTTGAGCCACTAACTCCCGAGCTCTGCGCTGTGACCTCTACTTCACCTCCCACAGGCCACGTGGCTTCAGCGCTACATAAATTCAGTACTCGGTAAAAACAGGCTCTAGGGTGGAGGGCTCCTCCAGAGAAGTCGAACCTCGACGTCTGGTGGGGGATGCAGGAGTCTGACTGTCTGCATTACCAAACTCAGGTTCTGCGGCTCACCGCTCAAAAGCCAATAATTTGAGAGGCAGGCGTCAGTAGAAAGGAAAGTTACTTTAATTAGAAAAGCCGGCAATCTGGGGAGAAGGTGGATTCATGTCCAGAGACCAACTCTAAAGATTCTGCTCAGCCATGACATTTTTTAACGGGAAAAATGAGGGGGAAGAATCTCAGTGAATCATCGAGGCAGGAGGTTGGGTTCTGCATCATTCTCCGTTGAGTGCAGACTGGCTGACTCTTCAGGTGTCATCTTGCCTGTGTGATCTGCCTGCAGGATTGCTAAGGGGGCAACTGTGGATAGACAGTCATTTTCTAACTGCTTAATTCTCTATTCTTACTTCTTTTAATTTAGAAAAAGAATCAACAAGTTAGACAAGGCATGGTGTGCATTCAGGAGAGATCAGAAGTTCGTTTCAACTGCTTAGTGATCTCATTCCTATAATTAGGTTGTTTTAAGGTTAGAGGGGAACAGAAATGGGCAAACAGGAAAGGGACGAAAGAGCTACTTTCAATTCCCCACTGTCAAATATCATTCCATTTCTACGGGACTACGGGCGACGGTCTATCTTCTGTAACTTCTTCACGCTGACAGAGGGCACAGTATTCTCAAAATGGAAGATGTCAGCCTGGGTCTGAAGCATCTCTTTGCTGACAGTTTTACTTGCCCGCTTACATATACGGGCAGAGCAAGCTACAATCATTTTGACGCCCACAAAGATATAGAACATTATGAGCAATAATGTTAATCCTGTTCTCTTGAGGCCAGTTCTTGGAATTGTACTAGCCATAGATTCAGTACTGCTCAAGACGGAGCAGCTTATGTCATGGCTACAGTATGGTCATCATACAGTTAGCATTCTTCCTCTGGTGGCAGTTACAGTATCTGTAAAACAACTCAGGAATGTGCATCCAACACTGAGTCTATGACACTATTGTCCTAATCATTAACTGCTTGGTTTAGTACTGGGTTGCAGGGAGAACTGCAGGGTTCTAATCAATTCCATATGTACCCTGAGGCCCTCCCCAAGGTGGCCCCCCCACATTCTCCAGCCCTGAGTTCCTACCTGAGTCGGCCTGGGGAAAGTGTAGAGTGGCCACTCTCATCCACCGCCTAGAGGGAGCCAGGGCTGGCTAACCGAGCAGAGGGAGGCTGTCTTGGGGCCCCATCCCCACATACGGTGCACAGCAGTGCCCACCCTGCTCTTCCTCCTGGTGCCCTGCTGTGTGAACACTGAAAGCGGCAGTTCGTTGACTGGAATTCACATGCATGTTCATTTGGGAAAGAAGGACCAGAGTGCAGCCCATTAGGCCCTGCACTGTCCTCCCCTTCCACATGGACGGCTTCACTCAAGCTTCCCAACCATAGGATAACTCATAGGGACAATTATCTTCACCTCTGTTACAGGAATTAAGGTCGGGAGAGGGTAATTTGCCAGAGCCGGCAGTGGTGAAGGCAACCATCAACGCTCTCACCCCAGCCTGGACCCCATAGCGTCCACCCAGCCTCGTGTTTGCATTGTGTCACCGCTTGTCCGCGGGGCCACCCTCCCTCACCACCTCCCCGGGGCTCCCTTGCTCCCACCCCGGCGCCCAGGGCCTCAGGGGGATCGGGAGCCTCCCCGCCCGGCGCAGGATCTGTCGGGGCAGAGCCGGGACCCCGGCCAGGGGCAGGAGTCCGAACCCTCCGTGCCAGCCCGAGCGCCGGCAGCCGCTGAGCCGCCCTTTGTTTCGCGACTTCTGCGGAGTCACGGTCACATGCGCTTCCGGCACGGGGTGTTCCGGGCGCCGCGCCAGGGCCCGGGGACGCCCCCGCCCCTCGGCCCAGCCCGCGCGGGGCCGCCCTCCTCCGCTCTCCCGCCTGCCCCGCCCGCCCCGCCCGCCCGCGGGCCAGCGGCCTATCTCCGAGCCCCCAGCCCTGGAGCCTCCCTCCCCGGCCGCGCCGGTCGCGCAGCTGTGCTCCGATGGCCTCTCGTCTTCTCTGAACTCCGCGTGGAGCCTTCCATAGCGGCCTGGCGCGTTCAATACCCAGATATTAACGGGGGTCCGCTCGTCTTCCCTACTCCAGACACCAAGGGCGCAAAATCAGGCGCCTCTCTCCCCGATGGATCGCTGTGCGGTAAATGGGTGGTGGTCAAGTACCGAACTCCATTCTTGTCGTTTCATGGGGTGGCCGTGCAACACCAAGCCTCTCTCCTCCCCCACCCCGATTCCCACAAACAGAAGGAAACAAAACTGAGCCACCCGGGGCGGCCACAACAGACCATCTAAGGGCCAAGGCCCCAGTCAGGGGCAGAAATGGGGCTGGCTCCTCTGTCCCGGCCTGGCCACCACTGCTCCGGCGCTCCCGGGCCCAGGCTGTGCCCTGGGGCACTTGCGAACCTTGGCGCCTCATGGAGGCCATCTCTGCTTCACTCAACGGAATTCAAGAATTCATTCAACAGATACTTATTGAAAGCAAACTTATGTTCAGGGCGACCAAGTTCCTTCCAGATGCCAGACCCGTGTTAAGCCTCCTCCAGAATGTGAGAGGATTCCCTCTGTGTAGCAGCAGTGCCCTTACTATCCCCCTGAGGCTCAGCTTCCCAGAGGAGGCCTTTGTTCAGAGCAGCTCGGGAGGCCATGCCTGGGGGCCGGGAATGGAGGCCCTGCCTGTCCCGTGCTTCCCAGTCTTGGAGGTGCAGCAGGGAGTGGCAGTGCCAGGCTCTGGGTGAGCATGGGGTGGGATCTAAGGGACCCTTTCTGTCTCTGGGCGACCCTTCCCAATGCCTCTCAGGGAGGCCTGCAGGGAGGGACTGGGGCACGGGATGGGGGGGCGGGGGCTGGCAGGGTGGAGACCTGGGAGAGGAGAGGGAGACAGCCCGAGGAGCAAACTGTGGAACCGGAGGCCGGGGTGCACGTGCGCTGTGGCGTCAGGGCTTGGTGGGGAAGAGCAGGCAGGTGAGCTGCCGGCTGCCGCTGTGTCTGTCCACGAGTGGTAGGGGGTGCTGCAGGTAGTGCTGGACGAGGCGGCTACGGAGGAGAAGAGCTGCACGGGGAAGCAGGGCATCCATGAGGCTCATGCAGGGAGAAACTTCCTGAGGGAGCTGGGGGGCTCTGGCGAGGGAGCTTGTTGACATTTTTCTAAATATTTTCCTTCTGTTTGCCCCATGAAGCCCCACTGCATTTTGTTGCCCAATTCCAGGCCTTTCCTGGGATGGCGCCCGTGCGCATGTTGTTGGCCGGACTCCTATTTCCCAGGCCAGATGAAATAACTTTGAGGCCTCTGCCCGGGGCCTTCCGTGTGGGGAGCTGAGTGGTGACTGTCTCTAGTTTGCAGCCTAGCAAGTGCTGGGTGCAAAGTTGAGTCCTTGGTACAGACACGAATCTGGACTACCTGGGCCCTGCCCTCCTCCCAGCTGGGTTCATACAAATGCCCCCACCTGGGCCCCATGCAGGCCGGGCTCTTCAGGAGGGGGTGTCTCCCCCAGAGCAGACTGGGCCTCTTCTCAAAGTGCCGGCTTCTGGGAAGGAGTTCTGGGCGCTGGCCACTGAGATTTCCACCCACTCCAGAAAAAGGCAAAAAAGGGGGGTCTTCCCAGGGCAGTGTTCCCGGCTGGGCCCAGGGGCTGCTCTGCTGTGTCTTGCCCTTCAGCCCCTACCTCTTGCAGTACCCACCTCCTCGTGGTTCCTACCTTCCTGGCCCAGGGCGTAGTGGCGCCCGCCATCCAGCCGGCGGATGGGAATGTTGAAGACCCGGCCGTGGAGAAGTACTGCCAGGGTGAAGGGCTGAGAACCACGAGGGCCTGAGCTGGGGCGCACGGTGTAGGCCCCGTTCTGGGGAGGAGAGCCCATCGTCAACCTCACCTTCCAGCTATAGCCCTGACTCCGACCCCTGCCCAGCTGCTCTTGCCGGCTCAGCCAGCCTCAGTCCCTGGGCAGAAACGGTTTCCCAAGAAGGCGCAGGGGGCCTGAGGTGCCCCACCTTTTGGCGTCGCAGCAGGGCACTCTCAACAGCATGGCGGTCACAGTTCCCTGAGTACCAAGGCTGGCCCAGCAGATCGCCTTCCTGTACATACACACACAGCGGCTCAGCGATGTGCCAGGGCACCGGATCGGGGGTGGGAAGCAGAGAACCCCCAGGTTGCAGTTATTCGTGCTCACGGCCACTCGAGCAGAACAAAGATGTGTCCGCGCCTGGAGCTGCACACACGTGTTCAGTGGTGGACACCCACCCGAGAGGGCTTCTGGGTAGGGACTTGGGTTCTGCTCCCATGGGCCTCCCCCACCAGCCCTCTCCCAGCCCCTCCTCACCTCAGCAGCTGAGGCATTCTGGGTGGCAGCTACAGAGCAAAGAGAGGCTATCCTTCCTGCCGGAAGAAGCAGATTATAGCCCTGGGGCTGAGAGGGGATTAGGCCAAGGAGGCTTGGGGCCCAGCTGCGAAGGTTGGGGAGGTCACAGAGGGCGTGCAAAGGCCTGAAGCCCAAAGCGGGACACCCAGTGCTTCACTCCCCCGCCCCAGGGCTCTGGTAGGACCCACCGGCTAGGCCACGCGTGACCTCCAAGTGAGGAGTGATTTTAAGGTACAGGTTGGGAGCTTCCTGATTTGGTGCAGATCCTGCAGAATGCCCAGGGGGTCCTCTGAGACCTGCTCTCCGCTGGAGTCAGAGCTGCAGGGACCGCCTCAGTGAAGCGGGATGTGGGGGGCTGGGAGGCAGTCTGAGGCCCGCAGGGGAGGCCCTGCCAGAGGGCTTGGGTTCATGCTGACAATGGCGGTACTCACCTTTAGAGGTGGCATTCGATGCTCCCTGGCACACAGGATGCTGGGTCAGAAGAGCTTGGCCCTGCAGGCCTGCTCCTTTGGGCTGGAAGTCCTACCCTGAGCCTCCCTCTCTCCCTCCCCGCTCAGCCCACCACCAGCCCAAACCCCCAGCCTCTTACATTCTGAGCTTCCTGGGGGGCTGTGGTGGGCCTGTGGGGAGCGAATTGGGGAACAGAGCTCAGGGGCTTTACCTCCTTCAAAAGAAAAAGTCCAGTGACCCGATCCTGGAGATCCCAGGGTCAGGGCTGGGAAGCCTGGGTAGGCCCTTCAGGCCCCCAGCACACACCTGCGGCACTCACCTGGGCCCCACTGATGTCCTTGGTAGAGGGACTGGGGGCCTCAGGACTTGGGAGCTCAGAGTCTGAGGCAAGGCCGGGACTAAAACAGAGAGGGCAGGCTGAGCTGAGCACCAAGCGGGGAAATCCGGGTGACCGGGGCGGGGCAGGGGACAGCTTCTCTGCAGCCTGACTTTTGGGGAGCCCTTCCAACCAGGCAGAGCACTGTCCTGGCTGCAACAGCTGGGAAGCGCCCCCCCACCCCCCAACCAAGCCCTTGCTCTAAGGGGGTCCCCTCCTTGTCAGGCACTGTGTGGGGCAGCCCGGACCAGAGGCGTCCATGTGGGTGTCTGAAGGCAGATGTGTGATGGTAGGGGTGCTGAGAGAGGACAAGGGCAGGAGATGGAGCCAGGAGACTGCATCGTGCTGCCTCTGGGCAGCAGAGGGCCTCAGGGCAGGACGGGGCGGGGTGGACGGAGGGAGGGAGGGGTTCACCTGGACTGGGCTCACAATCTACGTAAATGTCCTCCTCGGGCTTCTTTGCTGGGCCCGGCACCTAGGGTAGGAAGGGGCGTATGAGACCCAGGGTTTGACCAGTGAGTGGGAGGGAGGACGAAGCCATCACTTGGGGGAGCTACTGGCACCTCACCCCCCACCCCCACGGCGCCGCCCACAAGGTGGACCTGGAATGATTGAAAATGCTCCTTTGCCCGGAAGGGGGCGCCCATGAGCACCTCCCCCGTCCTGTGCTCAGAGAGAGTGAGCACCCAAGGGGAGCTCTGAGCGAGGCCCTCCCCAGAAGGACACTAGCGGACGCCCTGCCAGGGCCTGTGGCAGAGGGGGAGAGGTTCGGCTTCGGGCCTTTTCCCTGGATTTAGGGATATTTCCTGGCCCTCCCAGCTCACCCATCACCACCACCACCACCACCACCAACTTCCTAGCCAGAATCCTAGAGTGAGGGGCCACTCACTGCCCGGTCTGGTGCACCCAGCTCTGGGAGGAAAAGGAGAGACCCACCAGCCAGCAGCAGCAGGGAGAAAGAAATTCAGTGAAACTTAGGCTGGAAGAGTGGTGTATCCTTGGAACTTCTCTGAGGGGATCCTCAGAGCCAGCTGTGAAGTCCCAGGAGAAAGCCATCCTCACCCCCGATCGCCTTACTTCACACCCCCGGGGTGCCCCCCGCCTGACCCAGAGACCTCAGCAGGTGCAGAAGGGGCCCCGGAGTCAGGGACTCTGTGACCTCAGGCAAAGCATTACGTGTCTCGGGGCCTCAGTCTCCTCCCCAACTGCCTGCCTGGTTGTGGGGGGGATTGGCAGGTAAAAATGAGGAACAGCTGTGGCGGATGCAGCGACCAGACAAAGCATGAGATCAATGTAAGGCCAGCTCAACTTTCCCCCAGCCCCGACCTCATGGAGGTCAGGATTCCCCTTCTCGGGGTGGGGAGTAGGTGGGCCTCGGAAGGAGAGGGGACATCCCCATTACCTCGCCTCCCAAAGGGCCAGCTCTGCTTTGTGGCCTCCGGGCGGGCTCCATGCTGCCTTGGGCTGTGGGCACAATGCAGTGGCGTGAGGGAAAATCGGGTGGGGGGCTATGGAGGGGAGCTGCGGCATTGGGAGGGCAAGGCTGGCCGGGGTGGGAGGCAAAGGGACTACGTATATCTGTGCAGCTTGAAAAACACAACACAAGCGTTAATGTGCAAAGGAGGCGACTCTCCTCTTTGCCTCTATTCTGTGGCTCTTTCTTTGGTGTGAATCTCTCCCAGTTTTACTTTTTATTCCAATAAAATATACGATGAAAGTGGTAGCTCTCAAAGCCCACGAACGGGATCCTGGCGGGGGTGAGAGCTGGCAGCGACTGGCAGCCGAGTGAGGGATTTCTCCCCTCTGTAGGCAGGGAGGGCTGCACAGGCTTTAGGGTCCGGGAGGGGCAGCGGAGCTTCAACCCCCCCTCACCCCCACCCCACCCCCGCTCCCCTCTCCCGGCTCAGGCGAGAAGGGTGAGTCTTTGGTGATGCTGATGGGGAGGGTGCAAGGACCAGGCCAGGCAGGTGGGAGGAGCGACTGTTAACAGGGCTCTGGCTTCTGATGCAGCTAATTTTTCAGGGGCCTCCTGAATGCAGACGTGGGGGAATCTTGCAAATGAGATGCCTCTTAGATTTACTCACTGGGAAATGGTAGCCTGGGGTGGGGCAGGTAGGGAGGTTGTTCATCATCTCGGGCTGGGGCTGCGGTGGCGGTGGTGGCGGTGGTGGTGGTGACATGGGAGGGCCCAGGGGGCCAGAGTGATCTGGAAAAGACCCCTGAGCATTGTGACCCGGTGGGCTCCTCCCACGTAGGTTCCAAATTTCCTCCTGCCCCCTACCCAGCCTCTGTTCCCTCCTCCCTCCCTCACTCCCCTCTGTGCTCTCTGGCTTCCCGACAGCCCCGTCTCCATGGCAACTGGAGGCGGCCAGCTTCCCTGCCCCCACCTGGCCGAGCCTGGGAGCTGTCGGGGTGGGATGCCAGCAGCAGCCGGGGCTCTCCTGGCATCCCTACCCTTGCTCCGAGTTGTGCTAGGATCTCAGAGGGGGAACGCCAGGCCCCAGGGACCCTGTCAGGCCTCCTGCTTTCCCATTGTTGCCTTGGTTACACTGCCCCTCCAGGCTCCTCTCCCCTTCCCACTCATCCTCCTTCCCTTCTCCCCTCCCTCCCTCCCTCCGTCCCTCCCTTCCTCCATCCCTCTCTCTCTGCCCAGCCAAGAGGCCTCAGTGACTGCCAGCTGAGGCCTCCCCTCGCTGCCCCAGGCCAGACAGAGGGAGACGAGGCAAGGCCTGGGCCCTCTTCCCTTGTGGGGACCCTCCCATCCTACCTGACCACCTGACCTCCCTGCCTCAACTTCCCAGCCCTCACCCAAGTACAAAGAGTCCTCCTGAGTGCCAGGAAGGTGGGCGGGGGCTGGGTGGCGGAGCAGAGCCTCACAGGGGAGCAGCTCATATTTATCCTCCTCTTCTTCCTCCTCCTCCTGGGCTTCTGGGAAGGGATGCTGAGCACAGGGAGGACGGAAGAGATGCAGGAGCCGTGGTGGCCGCTGCCTCCCCCCACCCCCACCCCAGCTCCGCAGCTGAACTTACCCTGCGTCTCCTGGTCCCTGAGGCAGACAGAGGAGATGGGCAGGGGTCATCTTTTCTCCAAGCAGGAGAGTCTGGATGGGAGACTGGTGAGACTGTCCTCATATCCTCATGGCCCAGTCCCTCTCTAGCACAATGACTTACTCTCTCTCCAAAATATAATAAACCATCTGCACTCTTACAGTGGCCTCAAAGGAACCATTCACGGTGGGCCTTTCCAACACTGCAGCAAGACCAGTGAGGCGTTTTGGAGATAGGGGGGTCTCACAGCCTGTTCCACCTATGCCAGTCCCCTACCCCATGCATCCCTAATTCTGACCGAGACAGGTGGAAGAGCTAGGGCCCAGTGACTTAACAGCACCGGACTATAATGGGCAGGAGGTGTCCAGAGTCCTCAGGGGAGACTCGACTTGCAGGGGCTCCTACGCATCTGGGGGTTGGTCACTTACCTGCACATCTTGGGGGTGGAAGGTGTGGCCCCAACCTGCAATCAGACTCCAGTCAGCTCTGCCCAAGGGGCCCTGCGTTTGTGTCAGCCAGACCATGCACAACCCTGGGACGTTCACATCCATGACGGTATGAATGGCGTCCCCTGGAGTTGTGTGACGGCAGCCTGGGACCAGGGCAGCAAGAGGAAGCGTCTGGGGGCAGAGCTAGTGCCTGTGGGAAGCTGGCAGTGGGGGGCCCTAGTGTTTCCAGGGGGTGGAGGTGCATGAATAGTCTCACTGGGCATGGAGGGCCCAGGCAGAACCAGCACCGCTCTAAGGATGCTTGTGCCCAGGAAAGGGACAGCGAGGTGGAAACAAGAGAGGAGGGCAGAGGAAAGAGAGGAGCCCAAGGACTCACCTGGCCTTGCTCCTGCTGAGCTTGTCCTGGAAAGAGTCAGGGAGGAAAATAAGGGGGTGGTCAGTTCAGGTGGGATGTCTCTCCCTGCCCGGAGTCCTGGGCCCCAGGGGTGGGCAGGTCTGTGCACCTGGGGCTGCCCCCAGAACCAAGTCTCACCATGGCCAAGGTAAAGGAGCTATGCCTCCCCAGGGTCCAGGTTCTGCCACAAATGGCCTGGGGACAGGGGCCCTATTGTTCCCATCATTTGCATCGTGCAAGCACCAGGAAGGTGGGCCTGCTGTGGCCTCCAGCCCCAGACCAACTTCGTCCATGCCACTCCCAGGGCCCAGCCCTAGCTCCCCCACCGCTGCATCCCACAGCTGCAGCTCCTGCCCCCTGCCCCACGGGAGGAAGAGCTCCCTCCTCAATGCCCAGGCCCGCAAGGCTGGACCAAGGGCCCCAAAGCTGCCTGGTCAATGTCGCCTCCTCCCAGAGACTCAGACTCTACTCAGGATGAGCCAGACCAAGCCCTTTCCCAGTTCACAGAAGACAGGGTATTAATGGCAGATCCAATTAAAACCAGGAGACCATCCCTGCAGACACTTTTCTTAACTCCTTTGTGCCTGCTGTCATTCGCTGGAGAGCGATGATCAATGATCAAGGAGAGGGAGGTTAGTGAAAAGCTCAGAAATACACACGGATATTGAGTCTGACAGCTTCCTTTCTTGGTGGATGTAGTTCAGTCGGTATTGAACATCCACTACACACCAGGCACTGTTCCAGGTGCTGAAGGTGCTGTAGGAAAGTTAAACAGGCAGGCATTACACATGCATTTCCTCACTGGCTTCTCACAATAGCTTCATGATGCAGGTCCTAATTTTATCCCTGCTTTGCAGACGAGGAGAATGAATGTATTAGTCAGCTCAGGCTGCCATCACAGAGTACCACAGGCTGGGTGGCTTAAACAACAGAAATTTATTTTCTCACTGCTCTGGAGGCTAGAAGTCCAAAATCAAGGTGCTGTCAGGGCTGGTTTCTGGCGAGAGCTCTCTTGCTGGCCTGCAGATGGTCAGCTCCTTGCTGTGTCCTCATATGGCCTTTCTTCTGTGCATGCAGGGAGAGAGAGAATTCTGGAGAGAGAGAGATTTCTGATCTCTTCTAATAAGGACACCAGTCCTATTGAATCAGGGCCCCACCCTCATGACTTCATTTAACCTTAATTACCTTCTTAAAGGCCCCATCTCCAAATATAGTCACACTGGGGGCTAGGGCTTCAACATATGAATTTGGAGGGAGACACAATTCAGTCCAGAGCACTGAGACTCTGAGAAATGGAGTGACTTTCCCAAGGTCATACAATTAGTAAGTGTTGGAGGTGGAATTCAATCCAAGGTTTGCACAAACCCACAGCCTGTGCACTAACCACTGATCTTCCTGTACCTCATCTAGCATTGGGTCCTGACCCTCCTTTCCTGTGATGGAATTAGAAACATCAGTAATCACTGGTTTCCTTAGGGAGCCCATAACTTCCCGGTGCTCTGTTACCCGGGTGAATTTTGGAACTCTGACTTCTGAGAAGTGTTGAGGCAAAAAGAAAGGGCAGGGCCTGGTGTCTGACTCTGTTTAGACCAGGGAATGAGGGAACACAGAAGAGGATCATGAATATAAGATCCTTCCAGGACACTGTAACTTTCCTGTGGTTATCATTTTGGTGATGTCCTGGCTGTTGGCACAAAGGAAGAATGAAGGCCATGAACTTGCATCTTTGGAGGCCATGGGGCTGGGGGAACTGGGGACAGGGTCCAGGGTTGGAGCTGGCCACAGTCTTCAAAGGCCACATGATTCCTGAGACCTGCAGGCAAACGGACACTTAAGAAGCTATGAACTCAACCATAAAAAAAAAAAAGAAAGAATGTCATTTACAGCAATGAGGATGGACCTAGAGATTATCATATTAAGTGAAGTAAGTCAGACAGAGAAAGACAAATATCATATAATGTCATTTATATGTGGAATCTAAAAAATAGTACAAATTGGGAGTTCCCTGGCGGCCTAGTGGTTAGGATTCCGGGCTTTCACTGCTGTGGCCTGGGTTCAATCGTGGCATGGCCAAAAACAGAAACAGAAAAAAACTTTAAATAAATAAATAAAACTTAAAAATAGTATAAATGGGGCTTCCCTGGTGGCGCAGTGGTTGGGAATCTGCCTGCCAATGCAGGGGACGCGGGTTTGTGCCCTGGTCCGGGAAGATCCCACATGCTGTGGAGCAGCTGGGCCCGTGAGCCATGGCCACTGAGCCTGCGCGTCCGGAGCCTGTGCTCTGCAACGGGAGAGGCTACAACAGTGAGAGTACAAGTGAACTTATTTACAAAACAGAAACAGAGTCATAGACATAGAAAACAAACTTATGATTACCAAAAGGGAAAGAGGGGAGAGGGATAAATTGGGAGTATGGGATTAACATATACACACTACCATATATAAGAGAAACAACAAGAATTTACTGTATAGCACAAGGAACTATATTCGATATCTTATAATGAACTATAATGGAAAAGAATCCCCTAAAAACTATATATACATACATGCACACACATATATATGGCCAAATCACTTTGCTGTACACCTGAAACTAACACAATATTGTAAATCAACTATATTTCAATAAAAAAGAAGCTATGGGGACTTCTCTGGTGGCAAAGTGGTTAAGAATCCACCTGCCAATGCAGGGAACACAGGTTCGAGCCCTGGTCCGGGAAGATCCCACATGCCACGGAGCAACTAAACCCGTGCGCCACAGCTACTGAGCCCGCGTGTCACAACTACTGAAGCCCGCGCGCCTAGATCCCATGCTCCGCAACAAGAGAAGCCACTGCAATGAGAAGCCTGCGCACCGCAACGAAGAGTAGCCCCCACTCACAGCAACTAGAGAAAGACCGCACACAGCAACAAAGACCCAAAACAGCCAAAAATAAATAAATAAATTTATTTTAAAAAAAAAAGAAGCTATGAAAAGTCATTGGGGTGGCTTAAGGGGGCCCATTTGGTGTCATGGGAAAAACTGTACAAAGAAAAACAAAGAATCCAGGCTTGGCGTCAGGGACAAGAATCTCCTCCCGACCTCCACTCCCCAGCTGACCTTTGTTCCACATTTGGGCCATAAGGCATGGGGGCAACTTCCCTCACCAAGGGGACCTGCTGTCAAAGTCAGCAAGACGCTCTAGACACCACCCCGCTGCAAACTCCAAACTGAGTGGGTTTCCCAGTCCAGACTGCCCTTGCCACAGCCACCTCCTCCTTCTGTTCAGGGCTTTGCATAGGGAAATGCCAGGGCCTGGGTGAGGGAAAGAGCCCCAGGCAGAGGGTGGAATCCATGCCTTCTGGGTGGGGGCACTGACCTGGGCAGATCAGGGAGAAGGGGATGGAAGGAGGCTTCCTCACAGCTTTGTGTCACCGCAGCCAGCCCTGTAGCACCGTGCTTCCTGCTGATGGCACAGGCAGATTTGGACAACCTCTTTCTCCATCTTTGGCACAGGACTGTTTTCTGTACAATCATAGCTATTCCCTTGGGATGAATTCCTAGAAATGGAATTACTGGAAACTCACATTTCAAAGGTTCCATTGCCCCATTGTCTGGCAGCACCTGAGTGCCAGTTTTATGGTCCTTCCATAGCACACAGTGATTCTCCACATTTTCCAGAGCTCAGCTGCTGATCTCCAGTAAGAACAGGCCATCGTTTTCAGGCCCAACATAGTCTAAACCCACCCTAAGAAAACAAACAGCTCTCTAGAGCAGTGTTCCCCCACTTGCATGATCACAAGCATCAACTGGAGGGCTTGTTAAAAGTCTTAGACTCCCAGACCCTCCCTGAGAGCTTAAGAATGGGATGTTCCAGGAGGGAAGTGGGAATCTATATTACTTTAAACAAGCATCCTAGATCAATCTTATGATCAGTCAAGTTTGAGAAACGCTGCTCTAAGGGAAACGTTCTGAGAAGATGCGACTCCTAGGACACCTTTAGAATCACACTCAGCCTTTAGCTCATGGGGAACATGGGGGTGGCCAGCAGAGAAGAAACATGACACAGACCCTACCCTCCAGGGGACCCTCCGAGTGATGGAGAGGCCCCAGGAGACATTCAATCTCTCTGTGCTGCAGTCTCCCCCTGTGTAAGTGGGGGTGGGAACAAGGCACTCCTTGCGGTGGAGGCGCTTCTGTTGAATGAGATGAAACACGTGAAACACACAGCACATGTGCGGTAAATATCAGCTCTTCCTGAGTAGGTGGTACCACGGTCCATGGAGTTGTTGCCAGCAGACAGGGAAGGTGGCCAAGGCTGGCAGGGGTCCCCGGTGTGAGCGACGTGGGAAGCATTGTGAACAGGAGGGGGTGATTTCTGAGGACCTGATGGAGGACAGGTAAGCAGGCTGTGGCCAGAGGTCTCAGAGGTGGGAGAGTGCAGGCTGCGGAGCAGGGGATGCTGAGGTGTGGTGGCTGGACCCCGAGAGGCTGAAGGTCTGCCATTCCCACTGGCTGTGGATCACTTCCTGTGTTTGGGGCCACTTCCACTGTATGAATCCTTGCCTCCATTCACAGAAGCCAGATGAGGCTTTCCCAGCCTCTCTTACGGCTGGGGTACAGGCATTCTGCCAGTCAGATGCCCCCATGCTGGGCTTTGTATCCAAAGCAGGCACCAAGAGGCATCCATCCGGGACTTCCCTCGTGGCGCAGTGGTTAAGAATCCGCCCACCAATGCAGGGGACACGGTTCGATCTCTAGTCCGGGAAGATCCCACATGCCGCAGAGCAAATAAGCCCGTGCGCCACAACTACTGAGCCTGCATGCCACAACTACTGAAGCCCACGCGCCTAGAACCCGTGCTCCGCAACAAGGGAAGCCACCGCAATGAGAAGCCCATGCACCGCAACAAAGAGTGGCCCCCACTCGCCGCAACTAGAGAAAGCCCGTGTGTAGCAACGAAGACCTAAAGCAGCCAAAAATTAAATAAATAAAATAAAATAAATACATTTATTTAAAAAAAAAAGATGAAGAGACTCTCTTATTAAAAAATAAAAAAAAAAGAGGCATCCACCCTAGGGAGGAGGTGACAGTTATATCCTGTTTCCAGAGGCCAGGGAGGCTGAGATCCCAAGTGGTACCACCCAGGGCCAGGATCAATAGTGTTGGCCCAGAGGGGCCTCCACTAGGCCAGCTTGGCTGTGGCCTTTGAGACATTGTTCCTGGCTGGTTCTCTGGTTCTCCTGGAGATGTGGCGAGCTACAGAATATTTTTAATAAATTATTTTCCAGTCTAAACTAGCTAAGGTTGGTTTCTCTTACTTTCAGTGAAGAAATCTAACTTAGGGACACAGCATGAGTGGGATCACCACATGGATACCAAGAAGGCCAAACTGTGAGGTCAGGTACAGGTGTCTCATGAGAAAGTGGGACCAGGTAGAAATGAGTATCATAGCTTTACATTTCTATACTCTTGGGCCTTTTATATGACAAGCATTAATTAATTTTATAATTTAAAAATATCAGTCAGTACAGATTAAAAGATAAAAAGAAGAAGGAAAGAAGAGAAAGAAGGAGGGATGACCTGGATTTCAACCACGAGGAAGCGCCAAGAGAAGGACAGCCTAGGAGAAGGTAGGGCCCTGGGAGTGGGGGTCAGGGCCAGGGGGAGTTCCGGGGTGTGGGGCTGGGGCCACCAGAGGACAGCCAGGTCCCCTAAGCCAGGGAAGTAGGGGGAAGAGTGGGGGAAAAAAAAAAGAAGCACGCTGTTAAGACAAGGATTCTTCTCCGGGGAGAATGGGAATCCATCGGGGCAAGTGGCAGGGGTGGGGTCGAAAGAGGGAAGGAGAACTTTCTGACCATGAGTTCGGGCCTCAGAGGATGGGGAGGGGAGAGCAGGTCCTGTGAGGGGTGAGGGAGAATGAATGAGTCCTCAGGCTATTTTGACCTGAGCAAGTAGTCAAGTTAGAGGCCCAAGAAGCTCCTCGGGAGGGGCCTGAGGCCAACCGAACTGTCTGTGACTGGCTTAAATTTAAAGTCGGGGACCATCTTGAAGGAAGGTGGTGGAGAGGAGGGAGAGAAGGGGTCCCCCAGTGCTGAGAAGCGGAGGGCAATGTTGGAGCTGCTTTAGCGCAAGCTGGCAGAGGTCCCTCCTCCTCCCCCCCGCCGCTGCCCTCGCAGGCCTGCTGACTCAGCTCACTCTGGGGGCAGCTGTGACACGCGACGGAGGGCTGAAGCATGGACGACACAGACCAGCCTCCTAAGAGGGGTCTCTGGCCCCTGTCCCCCCCGGTGCACGATCATGGACTGCTGCAGCTTCAGAGGTTTGTGACAGGCTCTCCTTCCATCTCTCTGAAAGTTGATACAAAACTCGGTGTGTGGTTTGTGTTTTTCTGGGGGGCAGTGCACGAGATTTCTACAGATTCGCCAAGGGTTAGGGTCGGGGCTGAGGCTGGTTTTCCCTGGCCTCTAGGGTACAGTGCACAAGCCGGCACTGCCCTGGTCCCCTCTGCCCCTGCTGGGGTGCTCCGTCTCTGTCCCACACAGCCTGCCCTTCCCTGTTCGGGAACTTGCTCACAACAGGTTCGTTCATGAGGTAGCTCTGCCTGGAATCCTTGTGTGGCCCTCCCCACCATGGCTCCTTGAATGGAGACAAAGGCTTCTTGTTGCCTGGTAAGATCAGCCCTACCTACCTCTCCAGCCCCAGCCCTTCCATTTTCTCCCCACAGACGCACTCACACTCACCTTCTCTCTGTGGTTCCACCATGACTAGGCCCAGTTGGCCCATTCTGCACTCTGTTGACTTAAGGAAATTTCAGGTGGAAGGAATTTAGATATTTATTGTCCTTACAGAATATGACAGAGAGAAAGCACTCTTAAGTATAGTAAAACACGGATATTCCCTGGTGGTCCAGTGGTTAGGACTCTGCACTCTCACTGCTGAGGGCCTGGGTTCAATCCCTGGTCGGGGAATTAAAATCCTACAAGCCACGTGGTAGCCAAAAAAAAGAGAAAAGTATAGCAAAACACAGTAAAAAAAAAAAAAAAAGAGAGAGAGAAGAAAAGAAAGAAAAAAGGACTCTCTTATAGGTATGTTATACTTTAAGATTTTTTTTTTTTTTTTTTTTTTTGTGATACACGGGCCTCTCACTGTTGTGGCCTCTCCCGTTGCGGAGCATAGGCTCCGGACGCGCAGGCTCAGTGGCCATGGCTCACGGGCCCAGCTGCTCCGCGGCACGTGGGTTCCTCCCGGACCGGGGCACGAACCCACGTCCCCTGCATCGGCAGGCGGACTCTCAACCACTGCACCACCAGGGAAGCCCTACTTTAAGAATTTTAACCAACCCCCACAAAGTCCACTCTCATCGACTCTGCAACTGGCAATCTTCACAGATGGTGCAAGCACCTTGTGCCCCCCAGACCCCAGCCCTCTCCCTCCACCTCAACTCCTTATCTTGCAGCTCACCAGAGCTCCTTTAGGTGTCTTTAAACGTGATGCATCAGCCCACTGCTGAGATTCTGCCCTTGGGAGAACCCAAGAGATGTCCCAGTAGCAGGAAGCCTGGGTAAGATGGGGGCAGGATGGCTGCGAACACTTATAATAGTACCTGGCTCTGTTCATCTCTTTCTAGTCTCAAACAGTCTCCTTACCTGGGGGCTGTGCACTTGCCTTTCTTCTGCAGGAACACTCCCGCCCCTTGCCTCCCTCTTCCTTCAGGCCACAGCTGAAGTCACCCTCAGCAGGGGTCCCAGACCACGGCAGACTCTCTGGGCTCCCACCGTAGTTAAATCTATGGGTACATTTCAGGGCTAGACTGTGGACTCCCACTCAGCTGTAAGAGCTCTCAATGGGTAGCAACTGTGTCTGTCCAGTTCACTGCCAAATCCCAAGTGCCCAGCCTACAGCTTGGCACAGAACAGGCTCTCGAAAAATATTTGCTGTAGCTGCACATTCAAACCTTACTCATTCTTCACCGCCTGCTCAAAGACCCCACCTCCCGCCAAACAGCCTCCGTCTCTCTCCTCTGAAAGGCCCATGGCTTGCTCCTAACCCCCGTGCCTAGGCTGAGCACGGTGTCCTGAGGCCCTTTCCCCGTTTATCTGCTTCTCTAAATGCAAATGGTTACCAAGGACTCTCCTCTGGGTACCTTTGACCCTGCCCTCACTCTACTGGATCCTTTCCCCTATTTACCTTAATGAGTGGAGTGGGGGGCATCTATTCTTCCCCCCCACTCTCCCTGCACTCCACCCCACCCCACCCCGCCCCCGCCTTGGCCAGATGTAGTATGGCCCTGCTTAGGCTTCTTCCTTCTTCAGCTCATATCCGGAGAGCCAGGCATCTCCTGTTGCCGTTGCTTCCTTGTTACTTTCTCTCAGGACTGATGAGCAGAAAGAGTATGGACAACTGGCCTGCCTTCTACCCTCCCCCTAGGAGAGACCTGGCGCTGCCACTCACAGATGTGTCTTCATCTGCACATCCTTCCTTGATAGGTGTGGAGAGCCCTGAGATCACCCTCCCCACCTTTACCAACGGAAAAGCTGAGACCAGAGTGGAGGTGGATGCTGGGCCTTGGGCCAGAGTCATCTAATTATGTACACAAGACCAAAGCCCTCAGTGCGTCCCACCCCGTCGTCCTGGCGGCTCTACGGACCTGAGCAGTTGTTCCATCGCAAAGGGCGGCCCCTGGTGGTGAGAAGAAGCGTGGTGGCCTGTCCCTCACCCCCTAGACTGGCTGCCAGAGGAAAGGGTGTGGCCTGCAGGACCACCGGCAAGGGCTTCATCCAGTTGTTGGTGCAAGAAAAAATCAGCAGAAATCTGTGAAGTCCTACACAAATGAAAGATTAGAAAAATATGTACAAACAGTATTCAAAACCTGAAAGATAACTTCAACTATAATTCCACTATAGGTGGAAGGTGTTACTAAAACAATGAATTTGTTTATGGTTTTTAAATGCCAGTTTAAACAAACTTTTATTGAAAGCATTCGTGCGCTAAGGCTCTCTCTCCCCAAATGGGAATCTTGCTGTTGCCTCAGGATGTGTAACCAGTATAGGTGCAGGTACTTTCAAGTATAGAATATGTATGTTCCTGAGTCGCTCCCAAGGCCCTGAGGGGGAAAGAACCCAACTTTTGGGGCACCTTACCCTTAGACACATTTTCCGTCATGACTTCGTAACACTGCCCTGTTACTTTAACTGCACCCTGCTGGCTGGATCTTCAGGAAGCAGGGATAGGCATTAAATGGCTTTGGCATATCCTTGGGCAAGTCACACAGGCTCTTACTGATTCAAGAGTCTGGTGCTAAGTCCTGGAATGCAGGAGAGAATGGGCTCTTATAAAGACTGCACTGATGGGGCAAGGGCTGTCTCCAAGTTTCTATGGTAACTATCTCTCGTCTCTAGGGGCAGAGGGGCTACTTAACAAAAAGCTGGTTGTCTAGTTACTGAACCCAGGTTTGGCTGCTCCCTATTCAGAAGCCAATAATTTGAGAGGCAAGTGTCAGTAGAAAGGAAAGGTGCTTTAACCAGGAGAGTGGGCAATCTGGGGAGAAGGTAGACTCGTGTCCAGAGACCAACTCCAAAGATTCTGCTCAGTCATGACAGTTTTTAAAGGGAAAAATGAGGGGGCAGAATCTCAGTGAATCATCGAGGCAGGAGGTTGGGTTCTGCATCATTCTCCGTTGAGTGCAGACTGGCTGACTCTTCAGGTGTGATCTTGCCTGTGTGATCTGCCTGCAGGATTGCTAAGGGGGCAATTGCGGAGAGAGAGCTAGTCATTTTTTAACTGCTTAATTTTTTATTCTTCTTTTTATCTAGGAAAAGACTCAACAGGTTAGAGCATAAGTCAGGAGTTAGTTTCAATTGCTTAGTGAACTCACTCCTGTAATTAGGTTCTTTTAAGGAACAGAAATGGGCAAACAGGAAAGGGGCAAAAATGCTTTCAGTCTTTTTTTTTTAAATTTTAATTTAATATTGGAGTATAGTTGATTAACAATGTTGTATTGATTTCAGGTACAGCAAAGTGATTCAGTTATACGTATACATGTATCTGTTCCTTTTCAAATTCTTTTCCTATTTAGATTATTACAGACTATAGAGCAGAGTTCCCTGTGCTCTACAGTAGGTCCTTGTTGGTTATCTATTTTATATAGACCAGTGTGTACATGTCAATCCCAATCTCCCAATCTATACCAGTGTGTACATGTCAATCCCAATCTCCCAATCTGTCCCCCCAACCACCCTTCCCCACTGTTTTCAGTCTTAACAGAAATACTTGGAAAACCAAGCCTTTGAGAACTTCCCAGGCAGCAATGGACATGCTTAGAGACCACCTAACCAGTACATATGACCCCTACTCCAGTTACCGAAGGGAATCTGGGCGTTCTACTTTGAATATCCTTTCTAGAGTTGTTTCTAATTTTTCCAAGATTAAATTTAGGAATATGTCTAGGAAGCAGCTGGTCTCCACCCAACTACAGAAGAATAAACTCTCACTGACATTACAGGGTCGTGGCTATACCGTCATAAACTAAGTATTTTCCTATCTACCTTGATGATCAGGGTCACAGCATATATGGCCAGATCAGAAAGTGTAAACTCTGAAAATGGGGTTGGAGACGGAAAGGCCAATGTGTTGCTGGCCACTGTGGTGTCACTGCTCCTGATACAGGTGTAACCTGAATCCTCACTTGGGAGCCAGAAATCAGCTGAGAAGAGGCTTCAGGAGAGAGACTGCCCTGGCCCCGGAAGGTGGGTGAAGTGGGGCCTCAGCACTGCTCATCCCACCAGACAGGCTGGACCCTTGAGCTCCTGACTGGCACTGAAGGGCTTGGGTAAGTCCCTGCTGTAGTGTCTCAGTGGATACTTACGCGACTCGGGAAGTTAGGACAAGAGTCCTGGCGCTCGACGCTGAGGTGTGAGCACTTTGCGAGCCAGCATACTGAATGAGAGTGCCCTGGTTATTACTTCCGGTCGGCGCCTCACTGTTACCTGGCTCTGCCATATAAAGTTGGTGCCTGGGCGCAGGGCGCTGAGAGCGGTCACACAGCGTGGATCGAACATCCTGACCTATACCCCAGAACTCGAAGGACCCTGGCCTTCCCTGGGCTTCTCCAGGAGACTTGCAGGCCACACAGAGACCCCAACAGGCTTAGTCCTGCCTCAAGGTCCGGGCTGCTCCTCGCTCCAGGAAAAGGGAGTTCGCTCCAGGCGATGGAGGAGAGGGTCAAGGAGGCAGACTCTGCGTCCCTCCAAGGCAGCTGGCCCAAGCGTCCACCGGTCATCCCCTTCCCCGGCAGTCCCAGCCTGGTAGGGAGGGCGGGGCTCTGGATCGCTGAGAAGTGCTCGGGCCGGCGACCCCACGGTGGAGCAGTGTGTGCGGGGTCGGGGAGCCAGGCTGCGGGGAGAGAAGGGCCCTCTTCCCCACAGCAGGGGAGCCCACACCCCGCACGGGTAAGCCCACCTCGCCAGACGCTGACTTCCGGTCGTGAGCACCACCCTCCCCGAAGCCCCGCCCCGCACCCACTGCCTGCTGGGATCTGTAGTTCGTCGGGGAGGGACCAACGTGGCCGGTGCGCGCGTTTGTGTCTGCGTGTTTGTGTGTCTGTGAGTGTGTTTCGAGGTCCGCTGTGGCGTCTCTGTCCCCCTGATCTCTCCCCCGAGGACCCACTGGTCCCGGGCTTGGCGCAGGGATCGCAGGCCACCGCTCCCGAGGTCCCGCCCCGCGGCCCACTCTTGCTGGGATTTGTAGTTCGGGCCTGGGTGGGGCCGCAGGTCGGGGGTCCCACCTGGGCCCGGCGTGGTACCATCCTTATTCTTGCTTTTTCCCGCGTGCCCTGGATCTGGACAGTAGACATGGCGCGGTGTCGCAACTCCAGCCGAGCTCCCCCTGGCCCTTCCCCCGGTCCGCCGCCCCCGCGATGTATATGCCGGCGCCTGGAGGACAAGACGCTAGATGCTAAACTGAGGCACGAAGATGGGCGCGCTCTGGCCGGGTAGGAAGGTAGGGAAAGCCAGAGTGAGGACTTGGCCTGGGAGGCCCAGCCCAGGCCTGCTGGGCAAGGCTGGACTAGGCGACAGTCCAGGGCCCTTTCAGTTCTTAAGAGTCTGCGATCAATGGTGTCTCAAAATGATGACCAGACCCGCCCAGGACTGGCTGGACACATTAGAGGTGATTACCCTATAGAGCTGACAGATAACATTTTTGTCAAATTTAGCAACCCTACAGAAGGAGGCCAGGGAGGGAAAAGGACTCTTTTGACCACGAAAACCAAGAAATGGAGCGACACTGGCCCACGGGTTTGCTTTGAGGATCAAGTTGGGGGGTAGGGGCTGTGTGTGGAGGGGGTGTTTTGTAAACTGTAAAGCCCCGGGCATGGGTGAGGTGTTATCTGAACTCTGAAGCACTGGAGAAAAGGTGCTGGGCCTTCAGGAGCCACACTTTAAAGGAGAAGTTACACTTACTGTAGTTAAGTAAGATGTCCCATTAGGAGAAGCTGGGTCGTAGCTGCGTGGAACCTCTCTATACAATTTTTTTAAGTGGGGTGCAAATGGGTCGAGCCAGGACTTAACCATTTATAGGTTACAGAGCCCTTTCATTTGTTGACAGCCTTATTGAATGTGCAATTCAGTGTTTTTAAATATATTCTCAGTTGTGCAATTGTCACCACAAACTAATTTGAGAACATTTTCATCACCCCCAAAAGAAACCTGTACTGATTAGCAGTCACCCCCTAAAGTCCTCATCCCCTCGGACCCTAGGCAACCACTAATCTACATCCTGTGTCTACAGATTTGCCTATTCTGGACATTTCACATAAATGAAATCATATATGTGGTCTTTTGTGTCTGGCTTCTTTCACTTAGCATGGTATTTTAAAAATTCAGGTTGTAGCATGTATCAGTACCCTGTACTACTTTTTTTTTTTTTTTTTGCGGTACACGGGCCTCTCACCGCTGTGGCCTCTCCCATTGTGGAGCACAGGCTCCGGACGCGCAGGCCCAGTGGCCATGGCCCACGGGCCCAGCCGCTCCGCGGCATGTGGGATCTTCCCGGACCAGGGCACGAACCCGTGTCCCCTGCATCGGCAGGCGGACTCTCAACCACTGTGCCACCAGGGAAGCCCTGTACTATTTTTATAAATAAAACATTTTTTAAAATTTTAAATCCCAGTATCTAGAGGATGAGCAGGGGGAGCCCCTTATGTGTGAAGGACTCAGAGCTGGCACTAGCATTCAACGCCGAGAGCAGGATGGGCCTTGGGAGAGGAGGCGGGAGAGCAGTGATGTACAGTGATAGTTGGGAGGGGAGGCCGGGGGTCCTACCACCTCGCTCTGCATTTACTAAGGGAGTCCTGGAGCACGTTATTTTGACCCCACTTGGCCTCCATTTTCTCATCTGTAAAATGAGGATAATAAGAGGGCAAATGGGAGGATTAAATGAGAAAATCATATGAAGGACAGTGCCTGGCATATAGTGCCAACACTCAAGAGTGTTAGCTCTTATCATGAACTTACAATGGCGTGAGGACCCAATGTGACCCTGGCCTTGAGGGGGTAAACCTGTCCTCTCGTGTCCTCCCTGGGGACCAGTCCCTCCTGCCCCAGTCACTCGGTACCCTCCCCGCCACCACAATGCTCCACCAGAGCTTCTCCTGGCCCGCTCATTCATGCTGTACTGGACAGTCCTATTTTCCCAACAGGTCACCAAGGAATTCTGGGGTGTCACCATCCAGGACGCCTCTGAGCACCCAGCTGTGATTGAAAAGAAACTTTCTAATCATGAGCTTTATTCAGAAAATATGGCCATCCAGACCCCCAGCTCTTCCTCAGAGAAGCTGAAATGATTTAGAAAAATTCACTGCAGATCAAATTTAAAGCCTAGCAGTGGGCTCTCCTGGTGGAGCAGTGGTTAAGAATCGGCCTGCTAATGCAGGGGACATGGGTTCAAGCCGTGGTCTGGGAAGATCCCACATGCTGCAGAGCAACTAAGCCCGTGCGCCACAACTACTAAGCCTGCGCTCTAGAGCCCGCGAGCCACGACTACTGAAGCCCGCACACCTAGAGCCCGTGCTCCACAACAAGAGAAGCCACCGCAATGAGAAGCCCTTGCACTGCAACAAAGAGCAGCCCCTGCTCGCCACAACTAGAGAAAGCCTGCGCACAGCTACGAAGACCCAATGGAGCCAAGAATAAATGAAATAAAATAAAATAAATTCATTAAAAAAAAAAAAAGACTCGCAGCATCCTGAGTTAGTGCCTTCAAAGGAATATTCTGGGGGAGCTGTGATATTGGAATTTTCAGGTATTGCAACAGATCCCTGCCATCCCGCCACTGCCCCGCCCCGCCCAGGCTGAGGAAATGCAACAGGTCAGCCTGATCTGCCCCTCTGGATTGGAGTCAGAGAAGCCAGAGGGACTCCTCGTCTAGTGCTGCATTTTACAGATGGGAAGCAGGCTCAGAGAGGGTCATATGGCAGGGTAGTTAGAGAAGCCAGGTTGGGAACTCACTTAGGGAGAATCCTTTGCAATTTCAGGAAATGCTTAGCCCCGGAAATCAGTCCATAGCCTGGGTCTATGGGCACAGAACCAGAAAGCTGGCCATCTTGGGCGGCTGCAGACCTTGGCCAGAGCCCAAGTAGCCAAAGCCTGGAAGTCAGTCTCCGATGCCTTCCTCTCCTGGTTTATTTTAGCCAGATGTTTGTTTTAGAAGTAGGAGTTTATTAATCATAATGGCAGGCTGCACGTGTCTAGGCCTTTATTCTTTTCAAAGAGGCTCCCATAGGTCATCTCATTGGATCCCCACAAGCCCTCAAGGTAGGAGGGCTGGGTAATTGTCCTTGCTTCACACGTGAGGAACCTGTGGTTCAGAAGGTTTAAGTGACTTTCCCAAAGTGACAGAGGTTAGGGCACTGCTAGAATTTGAGGAGTTTGCTCTCTGTTAATTCAGTAAAAAAAAAAAAAAAAAATTTTTTTTTGGAGTGTCTCTTACCTGCTGAATGCTCTGCTGGGTGCTGGGGTCACAAGGATGACCTGATATGGTCTCTGGGCTGGAGGAGCTAACAGTGTGATGGGGAAGGCACACGTGGCAGATGAGAGAAAGGGGTGGTGAGGGGACTTTCTGGGGTGGTAGAAGTGTTTTATATCTTGGTAGGGATGTGGGTTGCATGGGTGTTTGCATATGTGAAGACGCATTCAAACGCACACTTACGATTTGTGATTTTCACTGTAAATTTTACCTTAAAAATGCAGAAAGTGGAAATGCTCTGCCTAGCATAGCATAGCATAGCATACACTATGCCTAGTAGGGTCCTGGTGGGGCTCAGCTGTCCAGAAGTGGGCCAGGGGTTGACTAGGTGGGCCATGGATATAATTCCATCTTTGCTCCCAGGGTATGGCTGAAAATTTTTCCCACGGAGTCTGAAGACTCAGATGGCCCAGTGGCCTGATGCCCAGAGCACCCGGGGAGGACTAAGGAGGAGGTCAGGGATTACTGCACATTTCGAGGAGGGATATTTAGGCTGAGTCTGTAGGTGACCAGTTGGTCAGAGGAGGGTGGACACGTGGGGCGGTTTCTAAGCATTACTCAGGAATGGAGTGTAGTCGCTCAGTGTTGTCCAGGTGGAAAGGAGTAGAACCAGGCTTTGAATTGCTTCCCTTACCCCAGGCCCCATCAGTGGGCCTTGGAGAAAGTCATGCTGGTTGGAATTTTCCAAGCTGCTTCCCAAGAAAGGAAAAGTCCTCTTACCACTGCATCAAGGGGCCACGTCCTAATCCTGATGCCTCTTGTCAGCCGACATTTGCCGGGGTGTGCCTGCTGTGCAGGGCTCTGTCCATTCAGAAGCAAAAATGGAAGTGTGGACCACTTGCTGTCCTCACTTCCGGAAGGCCTAGCCTCTGGGCGGAGACACTGGCTGGCCTGTTTTCCTCTGAATAAAGACAAGAAGGGTGGGACTTCCTTGGTGGTGCAGTGGTTAAGAATCCGCCTGCCAATGCAGGGGACATGGGTTTGATCCCTGGTCTGGGAAGATCCCACATGCCACGGAGCAACTAAGCCCGTGCGCCACAACTACTGAAGCCCGCACGCCTGGAGCCCGTACTCTGCAACAAGAGAAGCCACTGCAGTGAGAAGCATGTGCACCGCAAGGAAGAGTAGCCCCTGCTCGCCACAGCTACTGCTCACCACAACTAGAGAAAGCCGGTGTGCAGCAACGAAGACCCAATGCAGCCAAAAAAAATTAAAAATAAAGAATAATAAAAAAAACCCGAGAAGGGTGAGGAGTTCCAGTTCTAGCACCGGCTTTGAGGCCAGACCAGCCTAGATTAGAATCCTGGTTCTGCTACTGAACTAGCAGTGTGACCCTGGACAAGTTACCTACCCTCTCTGAGCCTCCGGGAGACTTCATCTATTAAGCGGCATAATGACAAATAGTTGTGAAGACTGAACGAGGTCACGTTTACAGCACTGAGTACATAGTAAGCACTCAAGGAAGAGGAGCTGTTACAGCTTAATCCAGGCCAAAAATCTTAACAGTTGAGTGGGTTGTGAACGCTGCCTTGCTCTCGCCAAGTTTTCTGCAGAGTACTGTTGTTAATTTCCCGAATACCCGCCCCACTTCCAGGTTCGTTTCAGAGCCGAGTCTCCCCCATGGCGGGGGTGGTGGGGGGAGGGGGAGACGACTATTGCGAGGGGCGGGCTCAGCAGCGTCCCCAGCCAGCTCGGGCCCCTCCCTCTGATTCACTCTGGGTGGCTTTTAGCCGCTCACGTCGGGGGCGGGAGCGGGGAGGGGAGGCAGGGCAGGGCGGCAGAGACAGTGGCCGGAGCAAGTCAGCAGGGCGCAGGCAGGCAAGTAGCGCTTGGGGTCTGACCACTCGGCGCCTGGGCTCCCCCTGTAGGGGTCGGAGGGGCTCAGCTGGTCGCGGGCCCCCTCGTCTGCGCGCCCGGCTCCCCCTTCTTCTCTTAGGGGCGCAGCCGCGTGTCTAGTCAGGTCTCCTCGTTTCCCGTAAGGAGGGGCGGGAGGGGGTGAGTCAGTGCTAAAGAGATGCTTTATCTTCCTACATTTGGGATAAATTGAGCGTACCTGCTGGGGAGACCGGAGAGGGAGGAAAAATGAGCCTGTTAAAAAACAGCTTTTAGAGTCTGGTTACCAGATAATGTGATTAATAACGTTAGTTATTGTTAGAGTTCCAAGGCGCTAGAGAGTCCTAGACTCTTTTAACTGACCTGCTCTTCTGTTTCGCTGTTAGTTTGCAAACGTCTCCCCCGCCCCCCCGTACCCACCCCTTGGTGATGGGGACACCTTTTTAGCCAGGTGAGGCTCCAGTGTGGAGAGAGAGCAGTGACTCCCATTCATGCTTGTGCCCTGCGGAGTCCAGAGTCCTAGAGCCACCCGGGTTTTGCCCCAGTGCAGACCAGAATCGACGAACCTCGCTGGGGCGGGGTGGGGCAGGGCGAGGGCGAGGGCGAGGGCGAGGGCGAGGGCGGGGCGCGGAGAGATGATCTGGGGTTTAACTTTCCATCCCTTCCCTCTGCTAAACCATGAAGGGAGAGGGAATTCAGGCATTGCTTCGGGAGGTGCTGGGGTCCCATGGTAAATTCAGTGTTGGCAAGAGAAATCCATCCAGGTTTATTGAGCGTCTATAATTTGCTCATTAATTATACCATTTCATTTAATCTTCACTTTTGTCTTCATGCCCCTTTTACAGTTAGGGCAGAGGGAGGCTCCAGGAAGTTAAGTCACTTGCAAGAGGAAGCAGAGCCAGTAAGTAGCCAAAATGTCCAACTCTTTCCATTCTGCCACGTTATCTGCCCAACCAATGGCTCTCGTGAGGACAAGACCCTCTTTTTAAGGCCATGGAGACACTCAGGTGCCAGCTAGCGTTTGTGTTCTTTGAAGAAGACATTCAACTTATCTCGTTCTGGTCCAGAAGTTCTAACACATGCATTGATTCGGTTCCACTGCTGCCCCCTGGGTGGGGCCTGACCCTGAAGGCTGAGCCTTGTCTCTAACTAGCCTGTTGATCAACCCTGGGCCAGGCCTGGCCTGTGTCCAGCACAGGTGGGACAGATTTCTGGACTCCGCTGCATCCTCTTGCACGGATTCCACAGGGCATGGAAGCTTCCCGTGCTCTGTCTCGTGCTCCCTGTGTAATCACAGGCAAGTCACTTGTGCTCTCAAGGCCTCCATATTCTCCTCTGGAAAGCGGACAAACGAGTTGGACCAGACTAGCTCCAGGGCCTTACGATGTGATGGAGGCAAGATGGCCCCTGGGTTGAGCCAGAACCAGGCTTATTTTTATTGCTGTCCCTCAGAGCACCCTGGGCCGAGACTGTGTGACAGTCAACATCTGGTGAGTGAGAAGCTGAGCAAGGGTAGATCTGAGAGGCATCCAGCATGCGGGACACAGCAAAGAATGTTTTCCCGGCCTCAGCCACTCCCCGGGAACAGAGATTTAACAACGGCAACAAAAAAAATCAAATGTATGCATTCAGGCAAGGAGGAAGGCAAGTCGAGAAGGAGGAAAAAGTGGTTCAGAGCCAGTGACCCTACCCAGGAAATGTGACTAACCCAGCAGAGGCTGGGGCCAGGCAGACGTGCCTGCCTCAGGCCGGTGAGCGGGGAACGTAGGCAGTCTTGGCTTTCCTGTGGTTTCCCTCGCAGGTCCCAGACTCAGAGCTGCCAGCCCTGGCTTGCAGCCGGTGGAGCCCACTGTGATGGGACTCCAAGCTGGCGTCGCCTCTACCTCCCAATGGGGGTGTCTGAGGAGCCAGCCTGGCCGCACTCCCTGCTAGTCCCCTATGTCGATCTCCTCCGTCAGGGACTGCCTGCCCGCCCAGCACAGTCTACCCTTTCCTGCCCTCGGCACCAGCTGGGGAAGGAGGCCAGGGGTGGGGTCGATGGGTGGGAATATCAGGAGATAGCAGAGGGAAGGGAGAGGCTGTGGTGTGTGTGTGTGTGGGGGGGCTGGCTGGAAGGAAGCAGAGCCTGAAAAGCAG